AGGGTCACTCGATCCAGAACGTTAACTCTGATTTCTCTCCACAAATGCTGCCAGACCTGCTAAGCTTTTCCAACAATTCCTGTTTTTGTTCCTGATTTACAGCATCCGCAGTTTCTTTTTTCTTATTCTACTTGTATTGTTCCTTCAGCATGCACTACTTCAACATAAACATGTATTCATGTAGGTTTTACAAAATATCGGTATTTATGTTTGCACAGAAGGGAATGGAGAGTGATCAGATATGGTTGATGTGGATCAGGGCCAATAGATTTGAGCAGGGCTCAGATTTAGCTAAAGCCAAGCCCTCCACTGCCATCTCCCTTCAGCTCCTCCATGCTGACTCCTTGTTTCTCATGTGGTATTCAGTATTCTACAGGAAAGTCTCCGTGTTGGTAAATCTGGTAAGGCAGAAGAGCTCAGAGCATGGATTGGCTCTGCGGACTGGGATATTATAGCCATAACAGAAACATAGCTGAGAGAAGGGTGGGACTGGCAGCTCAATGTTCCAGGATACAGGAGCTACAGGTGTGACAGAAGTACAAGTAAGCAAGGAGGGGAAGTTGCCCTTTTGACAAGGGAGGACATAACAACAGTTCTTAGAGAGGATATTCTTAAGAGGTCATCAAATGAGGCCATATGGTGAGAACTTAGAAACAAGAACGGGATGGTCACTCTGTTGGGACTGTATCATAGACCCCCTAATAGCCAGCGGGCACTAGAGGAGCAGATGTATAGAGAGATTGCAGATACCTGTACAAATAACAGAGTAGTGTTGGTTGGAGATTTTAATTTCCCCTGGATTGACTGGGCCACACAGAGTGTAAAAGGCCCAGACGGGATGGAATTTGTCAAATGTGTCCAAGAAAGTTTCCTAAATCAATATGTAGAGGGCCCTACTGGGGAGGGTACAACACTGGACCTCCTCTTAGGAAACGAGTTCGGGAAAGTGACTGAAGTGTCAGTTGGAGAGCATTTTGGGTCCAGTGATCATAACTCTCTTAGTTTTAATATAGTTATGGAAAAAAATAGGACAGGTCCACAGGCTAAGGTGCTAAACTGGGGCCATTAGGCAGGATCTAATGGTTGTCGACTGGGTGGGTTTGTTCAAAGGAAAAGGAATGGCTAGCAAATGGGAGACTTTTAAAAAAGTGATATCAAGAGTCCAGAGACAGTATGTTCCTGTTAGTATGAAAGTAAAAGCTGGCAGGTTTAGGGATCGCTGGCTGGCGAGGGATATTGAGGCTCTGGTCAGGTAAAAGAAAAAGGCATACATAGGAGTTTAGCTACCAGGCTCAAATGAATGCCCAGATGACTATAAAAAGTGTAGAAGCACACTTAAAAGGGAAATCAGAAGATCAAAAAGAGGCTATGAGATGTATCTGGCAGATAAGTGTCAAAATAATCCCAAGAGGTTCTACAGCTATATTAAGAGTAAAAGGGTGGCTAGGGAGAGAATAGGTCCCCTTAAAGATCAGAATGGCCGTCTATGTGTGGAGCCACAGGAGAAGGGGGAGATTTTTAATGAATATTTCTCCTCAGTGTGTATTGGGGAGAGAATCATGGATGCTAAGGAAATGAGGAAAACAAGTAGGCAGTTTGCAGCTGTAAAGTGCATTAAGATGGATTAATTCTCTGGGCCAGATCAAGTCCAACGTCAGACATTGTGGGAGGTTAGGGAAGAAATTTTTGCTTCATCCTTAGCCACTGGTAAAGTTCCAGAAGACTGGAGAGTAGTTAATGTTGTTCCATTGTTTAAGAAAGGTAGCAAAGACAAGCAGGGGGACTACAGGCCAGTGAGCCTGACATCAGTGGTAGGCAAGTTATTGGAGAAGATACTAAGAGACAGGATCAACCAACATTTGAATAGTCAAGATCTGATCAGGGATAGCCAGCATGGATTTGTGCGTGGGAAGTCACATCTGACAAATCTTTTACAGTTTTTCGAAGAGCTAACCAAGAGGATGGATGAGGGTAGGGCAGTGGATGTTGCCTATATGGACTTTACTAAGGCCTTTGACAAGGTCCCGCATGGCAGGCTAGTCATGGAGGTTAGGTCGCATGGGATCCAGGGAGAGCTAGTTAATTGGATCCAAAATTGGCTCAATGGTAGGAGGCAGAGGGTGATGGTTGAAGGTTGTTTCTTGGACTGGAGACCTGTCACTAGTGGTGTGCCACAGGGGTCGGTACTGGGACCTTTGTTATTTGTTATTTACATAAATGATCCGGATGTGAGTGTACAAGGTATAATTAGTAAGTTTGCAGATGATACAAAATTAGGAGGTATGGTTGATAGCAAAGAAGGTTATCAAAAATTACGGAGGGATATTGATCAGATGGGGAAGTGGGCTGAGGATTGGCAAATGCAATTCAATACAGATAAGCGTGAGGTGTTGCACTTTGGAAAGTCAAACCAAGGTAGGACTTATACAGTAAATGGTAAGGTCCTGAGGAGTGTTGTGGAACTGGGGAACCTAGGAGTACAAGTATATTGCTTGTTGAAAGCGGTGTCACAGGTAGACAGGTTGGTGAAGAAGGCATTTAGCATGCTGGCCTTCATCGGTTGAGGCATTAAGTGTAGGAGTTGGGACGTTACGTTACAGTTGTATAAGTCATTGGTGAGTCTGCACTTGGAGTATTGTGTACAGTTTTGGTCACCGTTATAGGAAAGACATAGTTAAAGTGGAAAGTGTGCAAAGAAGATTTACGAGGATGTTGCCAGGACTAGTAGGCCTGAGTTATAGGATAGGACTTTATTCCTTGGAACGTGGGAGAATGAGGGGTGACATTATTGAGGTGGATGAAATCATGAGGAGCCTAGATAGGATGAATGCATTTTTTTTTCCCCAGGGGTGAGTAATTGAAAACTAGCGGGCATTGGTTTCAGGCGAGAGGGCAAAGATTTAACAAGGACCTGAGGGGCAACTTCTTCACACGGAAAATGGTGCGTATATAGAATAGGCTGCCAGAGAAAGTGGTTGAGGCAGGTACAATAGCAACATTTAAAAAAAAATTTGGATAGGTACATGGATGGGAAGGGTTCAGAGGGATAGGGACCAAGTGTGGGCAATTGGAACTAGCTGAGTGGGCACCATGGTCAGCATAGGCCAGTTTGGGCCAAAGGGCCTGCTTCCACACTGCATTACTCAATGACTCTATCTGCGATGGTCATCTATCTGTGGTCTTGGTCAATTCACCCAGCCACATAGATTCACCACAATATCATCCCACTCTGAGTCGTGTGTGCATGTGTCTGTGTGTCTATGTGCATGTGTGCTGCGTGAGTGTATATGAGTGTGCATTTGTATGTGAATCTGTGAGTGAGTGTGCATTTGTGTGTGAATGTGTGTGTGTGTCTGAGTCTGTGAGTGTTTCTGTGTCTGTGAGTGTGTGTTAGTCTGCGAGTGTGTCTGAGTCTACGAGTGAGTGTGTGTGTGTGTCTGAGTCTGTGAGTGTGTGTGTGTCTTAGTGTATGAGTGTGTGTGTCTGAGTGTGAGTGTGTGTTAGTGTGTGTGTGTTAGTGTGTGAGTGAGTGTGACTCACATTTACCTCGTTATGGTTTCAATTTCAAAGGGCCATCTGGTCTCGAAGGTAGCGTTTAGACAATGCTGGTGTTTGCCAACACACACCCAGGCTGCCAAGTCTTCTGGTTCTTTACCCCGCTAACCCATCTCAAATTGGAATGAGACTCCTGGGCCAGGATGTGTTTCCCATTACATGTTCCAGGCTATAATGATATTGAAGGATAAAGACATAATTGTGAATCTCACAGACCTCAATGAGCAAAATCACAGACATGTGGAACACATCTAGGTTTACATTACAGCCTTAGAGAACCAGGAAATCTAATATTGTACAATAAAAAGCTTTTAAACAAAACATCCTTTGGTGAACCAAATACCCCAGTTTAACAGTCATTTCTATTAAGCAGAAACTGGTGGAGAAATGAACAGAGATTTTATCACAGAATTGAGGGGGCAATTTTAACCCCACAATTGGAAACCAGAAATCAAAATCTACTTGCCACCAAGTTTTGAAGGGCTCATGTGGTGTGGTGGTAGTATTCTGACCACTGGACCAGGAGGCCCTGGTCCAAGTCCCACCTGCTCAAGAGGTGCATGATAACATCTCAGAACAAGTTAATTAGAAAATATCTAAAGTATGAAAGCAGTCAGTGAGCAAGAGACAAAAGACCACAGCATCCAGAGCTAGTGTTCAGTTTCTTTGTGAATGTCTCCCTGAAACATGTTCTTATGGAAATTACAGGGAAATTACATGTTTCTTGGCCCCCGTCCAACAACAAAGAATTGCTCAGCAATGGGAATGAGTAAAGCATGGAGATAGCAAGACAGTGATTTGGGCACCCAATAATATGTAGATGAAACTGAGACCTTGATGAAGACACGCATCCAAAGATGAGAACGTTGTGGATTGTGGTTTTACAGAAGGACAGTGTGGGACTTTTAGAGCAAATACATGAGCAATGACAAAGTTTTCAGGGTTCAGGGCTACACTGAGGAGAATGGGGCATATCAGCCATGCCAGAATGGAGGAGCAGACTCGATAGGCTGAATAGCCTAATTCTGCTCCGCTATAAAAAAAATTCTGAAGAGGGAAGATCATCAATGAATGTAATCGAGAAAAAGTGACAAGGTCTGCTTAGAGGTTGGATAACATCCTGAAGTAAGATGAAGTGGGTGTAGACTGAGAGAGCAAAAGCAAATGATGATGTTGGATAAATTGAAATTGAAAACATAAGAACCTTCCAAGCAACTTACAGAACAAGACAGGCTGGATATGGATAGGATGCTCCCCAGGCTGGTGACTCTAGAACAAGGGACATTGTCTCATAGCCTTGGAGACAATAAGGACTGCAGATGCTGGAAGCCAGAGTCCTGCACTATATCTGTATCCTTTAATGTCATTAGTCTCCAAAAACCTATTGATTTCTATCTTGAACCTGCTCCACAATAGACAAGAGACTAAAGCCAATAAATGTGAGCATGGAAAAATGCAGCAGCTCAGACAGCATCGAAGGTGCAGGTAGGTCAATGAGTCAATGTAACCCTTTGTCAGGACTGGGGTGTGGGAGGGGAGCCCAGAAATAAATAGAGGGAGGGGGTGGGGCTGGGGGAAGGGTAGGAGAGATGGTGATAGGGGGATACTGTGATTGGTCAGTGGGAAGGGTGGAGTGGACGGGTGAGTAGGAAGGTTAGATCAAGTCAAGACATGGGATAAGGCAGGGGGTGGAGGGATTTTGAAGCTGGTGAAGTCAATGTTAAGGCCATTGGGCTGTAAGCTCCCAAGGAAAAATATGAGGTGTTATTCCTCTAATTTACATTTGGTCTCACTCTGACAGTGGAGGAGGCCAAGGATGGACATGTCACCAGGGGAGTGGGAAGGGGAATTGAAGTGGATGGCAACCGAAAGGTCAGGTTGGTTGGTGCATGCCTTTAGTCCTCACCTACCACCCCCACCAAACTCCGAATCCAACGCATCATCCTCCAACATTTCCGCCACCTAAAATCAGACCCCACCACAAAAAAAGATATTTCTCTCCCCACCCCTGTCCACTTTTCAAAGGGACCGTTCACTCCATGACTCCCTCGTCAGCTCCACGCTCCCCACCAACCTCTCCACCACACCCGGTACCTTTCCCTGCACTGAGGGTGGCAAGGGCTCTCTGGGTGGGGGATTTCAATACCTACCACCAAGAGTGGCTCGGCAGCAGGATTACTGATTGAGCTGGTCGGGTCCTAAAGGGCTTAACTGCTAGACTGGGTCTGTGGCAAGTAGTGAGGGAACCAACAAGAGGGAAAAACATACCTGACCTCATCCTCACCAATCTACCAGCTGCAGGTGCATCTGTCCATGACGCTGTTGGGAAGAGTGACCACCCAACAGTACCATCTTCACATTGAGAATACCTTACATCATGGTGTGTGGCATCATCAGAACACATCCAACAACTCCAGGCTGGGAATCCATGACTGTGGGCCATCAACAGCAGAAGAATTGTACTCCAGCACAATCTACCTAAGTGCGGGTTCCAATATTTCTCCTCATGGCCCGGCATATCCCCTACTCAACCATTACCATTGAGCCAGGGGATCAACCCTGGTTCAATGGAGAGTGCAGGAGGACATGCCAGGAGCGTCACCAGACACACCTAAAAATGAGGTGTCAACCTGGTCAAGCTGCCGAACAGGACTACTTGCAATCTAAACAGCATAAACAACAAACAGGTAACAGAGCTACCCAGTCCCACAAAAGCAGACAGATCAAATCTAAGCTTTGCAGTCCTTCCATGTCCAGTTGTGAATGGTGGTAGGCAATCAAATAATTCACTGAAGGAGGAGATTTTCATAAATATCCTTATCCTCAATGATGGAAGAGCCCAGCACATCAATACAAAAGGTAAGGCTGAAACATTCGAAGCAATTGTCAGCCAGGAGTGCTGAGTGGATGATTCATCTCAGCTTTCTTCTGAGGTCTCCAGCATCACAGAACCCAGACTTTAGCCAAGTCCATTCACTCCACGAGATATCAAAAAATGAAATGTGATATCAGTAAAGTGATGGAAGGTGTCATGATCTATCAAGCAGCACCTGCTCAGAAATAACCTGCTCAGTGATGCCCAGTTTGGGTTCTGCCAGGGCCACTCAACTCCTGACCTCATTCCAGCTTTGGTTCCAACATGGACAAAAGAGCTGAATCCCAGAGGTGAGGTGAGAGTGACAGCCCTTGACATCAATGCTGCATTCGACTGAGTGTGGCATCGTGGAGCCCTAGCAAAACTGGAATCGATGTGTATCGGGGGCAAAGTCTCTGGTGGTTGGAGTCAAACCTGACACATAGAAAGATGGTTGTGATTGTTAGAGGTCAGTCATCTCAGCTCCAGGACACCTTTGCAGGAGTTCCTCAGGGTAGTATCCTAGGCCCAACTACCTTCAGCTGCTTCATCAATGACATTCCCTTCCCATCATAAAGTTAGAAGTGGGAATGTTTAACTACACAATCCATGTCCAAATGCAGAAAGATCTGGACAATATCCAGGCTTGGGCTGACAGAAAATGCCAGGCAACGACCATCTGCAATAAGTCACAATCTAACCATTGCGCCTTGACATTCAACGGCATTATTATCACTGAATCTGCCACTATCAAAATCCTGGGGGTTATCAATGACCGATGAATCAGATTAGCCATTTCAACACAATGGCTACAAGAGCAGGTCAGAGGTTAGGAATGCTGTAGCGAGTAACTCATCTCCTGACTCCCCAAAGCCTGTCCACCATGTATCACCCTCTCTCTCACTCTCCTACATTAAGATACACCTTTAAAAGGACCTCTATGGCCAAAGTTCTGATCAGTTTTGGGAGCATCACTTTATGTAACTCAGCATCAGGTTTATCCTTGAAGTATTAGTGTACATTTCCCTTTGACACGAAGTACAAGCTGCTTCGACACATTCCATCTTACACTCACTGCGATAAACACAAGAAGCCGAATTTGAACCAATCACAATGGTTTATACTACAGGAGAAATATCAGCTGGTGGTCCAGCACTTGCTGAATAATTGTAAGGCTGCTGAGAGCTATACTAACAGCGGTCACAATCTTGTATTTTTGAGACTGTGGATGAAGGCGTAAGAGCTGGAGAGACTTCTGCTCAGCGGCAGGGTGGGTTTTCCCAAACAATCATGTAGTGAATGGCAAAACCCTTAGGAGTATTGATATGCAGAGGGATCTGGGTGTTCAGGTCCACAGATCACTGAAGGTGGCAACGCAGGTAGATAAGGTAGTAAAAAAGATTTCTAAGGAAGAGTCACCAGACCCAAAACATTAACTCTGTTTTTGCCTTCACAGGTGCTGCCAAACCTGCTGAGCTTTTCCAGCAACTTTGTTTTTGTTCGTTGTTAATGGCATGCTTGCCTTCATTGGAAAGTGCTTTGAGTATAAGGATAGACAAGTTATGCTGCAGCTTTATAGAACTTTAGTTAGACCACACTTGGGAATATTGTGTACAGTTCTGGTCACCACACCAACAGAAGGATATGGA